GGGCACTTCTCTCCTCTCCGTGTCTGCCACCTCCACATGTCCATACAAAAATACCCTCAGCCCATCTGTAGATTTACCTGGGGATAACCTCAGCTCTGTCTGCAGATACCACTTCGTCCTTTTGGGAGGAGGTATCATACCCTGCAAAGGAGAAAAATGAGCAGGAAATGGTAAATGAGATGACATGCAAATGCTATGGCAAAGTAAAGTACAAGTACTGTGCAATGTCCCATTAGCATCTGAGGACTTCTATGCTGTCTGCCTGTGGCACTGCCTCTGTTAGCAACTGTCTCATTCCCAGGAGGTCATGCCTACAGTGGCAAGTCCTCTGTCAATAAATGGAGACCTCCCTCCCTGTCTGGGTAGCATGTTATCCCACACAATAGGCATCCTGATGTTCCACAAGTGGTCAGCCACTTTCCTCACTAAGGGTCCCTGGCTATGTGTCAGGTGTGCTCTAAGAGAATAAATACAACATAGGAGGCTCATACCAACTGCCTCCCCCCTGTACATCAACTAATGGGAGCTATGGGCTCTAAGGGTCAAATGCCTTAGGGTATTTGGGATGGACAAGTGTAACCCACGAGTCTCCCATTCATTGGAGTCCTTGCAGTTATGCAGGGTTTGCAGGGTTTGCAGGGTAGCCTGATAGGCATGAAAATTACACTGGATGCTTCAAGATGGAACTTCAAGACATGGCCAAGGGTTCTACATCAGTGAGGTGTGAAGTCAACATGGAAGACAGAGTATAGACTGGTTCAGGGAGATCTGGGTAAGATCATGTGCTGAAAGCTGGTCATGATGGCAGCTACCCTGGCAGCCATGCAGTGTCATGGCATGTGGCTAGGGCAGAGATCTCACAAGAAAGACTGCCACTGCACACAAAAACAATTCCATTATCCCAAGTGGAGGCCTGGCAGAAACCATGCCACATGCATTTTAAAGGCTCCATGGCCATTGCAGGGGCCTCAGGCAAGGAGACCCAACAGGGGCTTTGAGGACAAAGGTGTTTGTGACCCAGGGATATGAGGCTAACACAAAGGTGTAGACCCATGCTATCGTTATGTTGCAAACTCCATCCTCACACCTGCCTCCATCCATCCACATGTGCCCTTAGGATTTCCCACCACATCACACCTTTCACCAGAGGGCCAAGGATGTTACGGTGAATGCAGGAACTCCAGAAGGGCTGCAGCAAGATTCCCAGTGGGACACTCACCCTCAATGGCCTCTATCCAGTGGATGGACTGCTGGGCTAAGGGCTGCTGGACCCTGGCCCAGGCCTGGAACAGTATTTCCAGCTTGTCCCCCCAGGAGGCATGCCACATGTAAGGTGCATCTGCAAGGTGTGTGCATGCCATGATGCGATGCCCTTCAGCTAGAGATCGGTTTTCACACAATCTGAAGTGCAAATGTAGAGGGGAGATGGAAAGGATGAGGGTTTAACACACAGGCATTCCTGTCCACCCCAGTCCCACCTGGCTTTCCTAGCAGGAAGAAAGGGTCTGTCACTCATTGAAAACATGCCATCATCTAAGAGCCATTGGACTGTGAACTTCCCATTCTGAGACAAAGTGAGCCTTCACGGGGAATGGACAGACCCAACAGGATGCAGATTCAATGCAGGACTCCTGGCCCCATTTCCTTCAGCACTGGGGCATGACCCAAGACATTGGCCAGTTCCGTCCTTATCAAAGTCCCATGGGGACACTGAGGAAGGAGAAGCAGAGAGGCCTAGGGAAGGGCTCCCCAATTTTTATGGAGGCCACACAAGCTGTGAAAGCAGCAATGGCCTGGAAACATGACTGGATCCCAGGCCACCACATGCAGATGTCCAATGGAGGTGGGAGGTGGGGATCCACCTCAGCACATGGAGAAAAGTGGAGCTACCAGAGTCGTCAGAATGAGCTCTGAGGGGGTAATTACTCCGTGGGGCCCATTCTCTCCTCCCCATGCCTTCTACCTCCAAATGTCCATACCAAAGAACCCTCCATCCATCTGTAGACTTACACAGGTTTGGCTTCATGTGGCACTCTGTCCTCAAGGGAATTCCCATAGACTACAATAAAATTTAGATAGGGAAGTTGCTGTGAGACAAAGAGCCCAATTATAGGTCAGAACAGCCCCAGAGGCCCAGGGAGATGCCTGCTGACAGCTGTCTTGGTGGCCTTTGCCCATTAACAGGGGACCACTTCTCTCTTCCAGTCTGCCTGCCTCCTGCATATCAGGCATCCCCAAACTCCAAAAGGGATCAGCTGCTGTTTGGCCCTGTGGGATCACTGCAAATGGCCCAGCTGGTTTCTTCCTCAACAGCTGCCCTAAAGAGCCTCCCCACAACTGACAGCCAGGCCTTTGTGGTTCTCATGTTGCAGTGTGCCATAGGTTGGATGGGGAAAGCCCTGGAACCTATTCCCATAGGGGTTTTTAGGGTCATGAACAGACCCCAAATGTTAGGGACCTGTGAGAATCATAATGATCGGACTGGTTCCCTCCACATGGCAATCAGTGGTATGGCCAAGGGCTCTAGATAAGGAAAGAGTGACATCAACTCAATGTGGGAGAGTGACATGCTGTGTCTCAGTTTAGAGGTTTTGGGTCTTTCGTGAGATCACGAGTGGAGAGGGTAGCTTTGATGATAGTGGCCCCTACAGGTAGTGTGTCATAGCATGTGACTGGGACAGGGATCTCACAAGGAAGACTGCCACTGGCCACTTAGGATCCACTAGTACAAGTGTAGGCTTGGAACACACCATGCCATGTGCACAGGGCTGATGCACACCACACTGGGATCCACAAACTGCTGCCATGTTGTCACCCCTGCTAGAGGAGCTGCAGCACAGCAGTGTGCTGAGGAAAACCACCCTTTGGGGAAGCAGAGCTACTGGGTGAACACACAGGTGTAGACCCACATGACATCTTTGTTTCAAACTCCCTCTGGGGGTTCTTAGGCTTTCCTTTCTAGTCCAACTAGAGCAGCCCATCCATTTCCCAACCACGCCAGGGTCTTTGTGAGAGCAGGGCAAGTATGCTGGGGTTTACTCCTTACCCTAAGTGGCACTGGAAGCACCATCCCCCCGGTTGGTGTACTCACCTCCAAACCTTGTGCACCACGAGCACTCTTCCAGCACTATCGTCCAGCCACCACCAGGATAATGCTGCTGCATAACCAGCTTGGCTTTCATGACGATGCACCAACAATATTCACCCATGATCAGCCCTGGTACCAACTCAGGCTCTACTTGAGGTGGAAAGCACCCACTGATCCTGCTGGATTAGGAAGGGTGGAGAAGTTATCATGGTAGTTAAGGTACCAGAGGGCCCTATCAGGCCTGCATCACAGGCAGGTTGATTCTGCCACCAATGAAAATGGGCCTTTCAGCTAACAGCTGTCTGAGCAGGATCCTCCCCTTGCTGAGCAAAGTGAGGAACTGCAGGACGTGGAGGCACAGCACGAGCTACAGGTGGAGGCACCAGAAAAAGGATGGAGAGATGGTGTTGGAAGATGGCCAGGATTCCAGCTGAAGAACAAAGAGCTGTGATGCTCAGTAATGGAATCCTCATGACACTCAGATACAAGCAGAACAAATAGTGTTTGTCACATTCGACAAAATCAGTTGAATATTACTAATCTCAGGTGTGGTAATATACCTGCTACAGCACAGTGGGCTTCTAGTTCTGTGGCCACCCTGCTGTCTTTCTAACATTTTGGTATGGTATTTTCCCCTGTACTTCTTTCTATCAGCCATCTCCATAAACACAGAGATGAGAAAAAAAAGAAGAAGAAGATAAGGAACCCTGTCTTTTAATCTATGCACAACAGAAGTAATAACTGCAGGAGACCCCTGTAAAGTCCAGTTGATCTGAAGCAACCTAATGGAGACCACATGGGTGTTTGAGGAAGAAATGGCAATCTCTATGGGTGCGAAAATGATTACAATAATACTCTTCATAGAGAAACAGTGTGATCACCTAGGGTGTGTGAAATCCTTCCATTCAGCATATTCAGTTTCTCCCTAAAATATTAGTCCCCAGATGTCAATATCAATGAAATATCCATGATTCCTTAGTCTTACCTGGGGCAGATTAAGTCCCAGCAACCACCCTTCATTTGCAGTCATTTCTTTTGCTGCAAATAAATTCCAACAGGGACGGTCAAATTAGGGAGGTCCTAGTACATGTGCAATCCAGTTCCCAACAATGACACAGTAATACCCATAAACTCTATTTGACAATGGCATACTGTGAGAGAAATACTTTCATGTGCTGACCCTTTGAGGCAAAACCTTCTTGGCATGAAAATCAATATCCAGACCTCTTTGTCTTGAAAACAATGAACCTCATCTTTTCCCCGCTAATTCTGGGAAACTACCCTATCTGCATTCTAAAAGAATTAAAAGTTATTCACTTTTCTCCTGTTAGAATGCCAGGATGTAGATGACTTAGAGGAATCTATACACTGAGGTGAGACTGAGGATGAGATATATTCAATTTCTTCTCAAGATTAGTCTTCGATGCTTCACAGAAACAGTTGTCATTCATGACCACTACAAGCTACAGTGGTCATTGTTGCCTCTGGAAATCTTGGAAGTATGGGAGTGGCTTCAATTTTATGTCCTAGGTTTAGATGGATAATGAGCTGGAAGAAGAGAACTTAAAAGATACAGAGGATGGGCTATGTTTGGAGAAATGTGGGTTATGTCTGCAACAGAGATGTAGACAAGATGCCTCTGGCAGTGTGCAAGCATAGATCATCAAGAGACAGGTTCTACTGCCTCAAGTATATGTAACGATGCCACATGGCAAAGGCTGTGTCTTATTTAAAATACATGTGTAATTGTTCCTAATGGCAATGCCACAACTGCCAGGCAAACATTTTCATGGGCCCACTCCATAGAAGAGGAAACAGAAATACAGAAATCAACGATCTTTCTACAATCAGTGAAAACAGTGCTGAGGACACAGGTGGGCCCTTTCACTCTCAGCACGGGTTCAATCTCCCTCTTACAAGCCACCACCTGCCCCAACCTCCTTCCTGTCCTTTCAAACTGGATGGATACAGCATCTTGATCAAAGGCCACCTGCACTGGGGAAAATGGAGACTTCTGCAATGCTAGGAACTTCAAGCCTGTGCGTTTCTCACTCTAGTTCTCATCCAGAATTCCTGATCATGTCATGGCCACAGATATCTCAATGAAAACAAGGTAGCAGGAAAATGTCTCCTGCAGGGAAGTGGAGTCTCCTGTAAATTTGAGACTTTCTGAAATCAGAGCCTGAGGTCCCCTTACCCAGGCTACATTTGTAGACAAGATGCTTTTCCAGCCTGACTGTGAACAACCAGTGGCTCCAGCAAGCCCCGTTGTAGGTGGCTGTCAGGGTCATGCTGGGTGAGGAGGGCTCTGGGATGTAGGCTGAGATGACTAATCTGTGTCTGTTTTCTTGACTTCTTACGTAGCCGGCACCGCTTGCGGGTGCGTGCCTTATTTACATGGCATTTCCTAAGGTAGGACAGGAGAGAAAATGTAAGGATAGAAATATGTGCATGATACCATCTCTGTATTTCAACAGATTTCATGGAGAATTCTCTCACAGAGCCCTGCAAACAGCAGCACTGACAGGTTCGGGTAAATGCTTGTGGTGAAGAAGACAAAACGAGAGCTTCCCCTGTGTTAGAGGGTGACCCTGTGTTCAGTCCACATTGCCAGGACTCTTCCTTCATCCCCCACACACAACAGCTCCTTTAGCTGCTAACTTCAACCACAGGCATTTCCAAGTAAAACACATAGCCCACTGCAGTGACTGAACACCAAGGCGCACTCAGATGCATGTCCCTTGTTACTGGTGTTCTTCAGAAAGAAATGAAAGGCTGGCAGGGTCAATCTTAGACAATATCCTCAATCAGGAGGTGATGGTGATCTAGAGAGAATGACACGGTGATGACAACACATCATGTGCATACCACGCCATGCGTTGCTCACTATCCTCTGGTTAGTTATGAGAATTTGAACTCAAGAAATTCCTTGTTTTTTGAAAGAGGAAAGGAAGCTTTGATAAGCACCACAGCCCATCATGTAGTATTTTCATTGTTGTGCACATGTTTTATAAATATTTATGAGATAGGTCCCCAACATGTAAATTCCTGCCCTTCTCCTGATGCAAGTCTGTTTCCCCAGCTGAGCTGGCCCACTTCACTGATACCACATATATCTTCCTCCTGCTTGTAATGCCCGAAGCCCCACTTACTTGAACTCGGCAGGTGCCAGCTTCTCAAGCTGTGGAGTTCCAAGTGCTGGCTTCTCCCTTAGCCTGGATTGAATCACCTCTTGGCCCTCACCATAATCTGAAACAGACACACGTGCCTCAGTGGACAGCTGGACACGCAGCCGAGGTCACTGTCTCTAGGGAGGAGCCACTCTAGTACCATGCTCCAGGTAAGCATTTCTTCATCTTTGTCTCTCCACCTCCCAACAACAGGATATCTGATAATCCCCCATTTAGAGTGAACAGTGTTTCAAGGTGAATGGTGACCTGACAAGGCAGTTCAACTGGTATTTGACAGAATCAGAATTCCCTTCCACTAAGCTGTGACTGAATCATGGCAGAGTAGTTAGCACACCTTGCAGATTTTTAAGTCAAGCACTAACTTGTAGCATGAAGCAGTGACCTCCAGTATGGTTGGTAAAGTACACTAGCACTGGGGATAGTGGTTCTTCTGTGCTGAGAAGTTCAACTTTCATGTTTGGGGAGTTTCCAAAGACAAAATCACAGCTAAGTAGAATTGTGTAAAAACAGTGCTAAACACCCAAAGGCCCTGAAAGAAATATACACACCTACTAATACAGCTCCTGTTAAATTAGAAAAAAAATGAAAAGGAATGAATAAATCTACTCCAGGCCAGGAATTGCCTTACATATTGTACAAAAAATATATCCCATATTTCATGGCAACAATTTACAGAGGTAGGAATTATGACAGCACTTGTGGGAACCGAGGAGGGGTCTAAGGCATGCAGAGATTGGCAAGTTGGAGAAAAGCCCAGGGAGGGTCTCCGAGTCCCTGCTCTACATTCTGCTCTGTGCTACCGCAAAGACTCAGGAGCCTTCTTCCTCTTCGAGAAGACCTTTCGTTCCATGAGTGGGTTTCCCCCTGACCAGGGCAGTCCCTGGTCTAGACAATGTCATTTACAAGTACCACAATGTCAGCACAGACTCCATTAGCACCTATAACAGAGATCTTGTGGACTCTTCACATTTCTCTGTGTGACCAGCACAAGGATTTGCCAACTGGAACTCAAAAGAAGCTTGAATTGAGTAGAAGTTCATTAGCCCCATACATGAAACCCACACCAGCTGGTACAGGACAAAGAGGTTGCCAGTTAACTGACATCTCACCCCACACTTAAAGGAAACATGGAAAAGTTGTTGAACTAGTGCCTTGGTTATTCCAAATTGACATGAAAATAGCTTATACAGTTCTCAGAGTATTGTAACAATGGATTTTCTTAGGATAAAGGGAAGAACCAAACCTAGAAAGCCTTTATTTTCTCAGAGGGACCAAATCATCATTTACCACTTTAGTGAGAGGACCTATGGAACTCACTGTTTTCCTCTTGGTGGAGGATGAAGCTGAAATGACGAACTATCTCTTTCAGATCTTGTATTTCCCGCTGGTTCTCTGCTAGTCGGCAACGCGATGCCTGGTTACACACAACCATATTATTTTTATTGGCTGGATCGGACGAAGGGCTCAGTGGTACTGCCATTCTGATGGTTCTGGCAGACCAGGGGGCTCCAGAGACTAGGTGGAAGATACCCAAGAACAGAATGAGTTACAACAAATGACATTCAATAGCTCTAATGAGGGCTAGGGGATGACAACAGCCATATTTCTGAACTTACTGTTGGGAAACACCCCACAGAACTTCAAAGTCTTCAATCAAAATCCTGTCACTATTAAGTGATCAACACTCAGCTTTTAAGCGACTTCTTATTACTCAGTCACTGTCACAAGTGAGAAAATGAACTCCCTGCTTGCCAGCTTGCCAAGTAACTGTTGGAAGTAGCAATAGCAGAATGAGAAGATGGCCGGTACTGGAATGTTAGGAGTTGTTGACTTCCTGTTGCCAAGGATACCTGGTCCCTTCTTAAAGGCACCACCAACTCATTCCTCATTCTCAGGAGCAGCGCGCCCAGTGCTGATTTTAAACACCTGCATTTTCCACTAGGAAAATCTAAGCACATTTCCCACTCTCCCTCCCTCCCTGTGGTGGAAAACACTAAGGAAGAATTCATTTCCAAACAAGTGTTATTTTCTCAAAGCACTCTCAGGAAGTCACTCACCCCTGCCTTTCTGTTAAAATGGGTCTCCAGGCTTTTCCTCCAGGGAGACATGTCACATGATAAACTACCAAGATGCTCTTCTCTGGGTTTCTGCAAGCCTTTCTATAGCCATTAAATAGTGTAGGGTCAGAAAGCAGAGTAAAGCAAGTACAGAATGAAAAAATAATAATTTGTGTCCTGTTCTGTCTCAAAATATTTTTGGCTCTACTCAATGTTGTAATGGCTTCTTTTCCCTCACACGGCAGCATGTTGCCATTTCACACTACTAAAATCAGTTAGACCTCCCTACATCCTAAGTCCTTCCTCAGACTTTGGGGGCATTGTTTTGTTTTCAATGTCATTAAATACAGCATTTCCTACTTGTCACTTGCATGTTTTGTTCTAAACCCAAAAGAGATCATTTTAAAGATACCAAGGCACTCCAATAGTTTATCTGTATTCTCCTGCATACACATAGTCACCATCTATGTCTAGAATAGATATGAAGCTGATGCTACTTTTTAGATGTTTTCCTTTGGTTCCAACACATATAGAGTTGAACAGGGCCCAGTGGTAGTTCTTATGCAATGTTAACTGATAGATTTTTTTTCTTATATGGTTGAACCTTATTGAATGATGGCTGAATTCCACTAAAAATCACTGTTAACACTGAGCATGCTTTTGTGTTGCCTGGTGATCCACCGTGTGCATGTGCAGTACAAGCTGATACTGTGGTGGGAACACTCACCTTCTCACTCTCTTGGCTTCCATTCCCAACCAGCTTTCATGAACCTCAGACTTAGGGGACTCTCCTGGAGTCCAGGTTTCTTCAGTTCAGCTGCTGGACTTATCTAACTTGGGGAGGCAAGTGGACTGACATTGGGATGCTGAATATTCCTCTTCAAGTAGAGGAAGAAGTGGAATGGATTGAATACTTTCTAAAGCCTCTCTACCCACCCTACACTGTCTCCCAAAGACACTGTATAATGGTATCATTTTGTGAGATGAATGAAAGGTTTCTTTTAAAATTTATTTTCTTGTGTCAGTGGACTTGACATTCAGTGGCAGAGAGTAATATATATCAAAACCTTCCTTGTCAAAATGACAATCATGGGGAACACAAAGTCACATATCTCAATCTCACACAAGGATGAGCTTGGGCAGTGCTAGTAAAAGATCATTATAACAGTAACAACTACTTGAGTAGCATATGCCAGGCCTCTGGCTAAGTACTCTACACGTGATGGCATTTCATTCTCACTACAATCCTTGAGACAGCAGTGTAAGCAGAAGCAAACACACCTACAGGAGAGGGACAGGCAGTACCTTTTTAGCCAGGTTTATTTTTTTTTAACTTTTATTTAATGAATATAAATTTCCAAAGTACAGCTTATGGATTACATTGGCTTCCCCCCATAATGTCCCTCCCACCCACAACCCTCCCCTTTCCCACTCCCTCTCCCCTTCCATTCACATCAAGATTCATTTTCGATTCTCTTTATATACAGAAGATCAGTTTAGCATACATTAAGTAAAGATTTCAACAGTTTTCTCCCACACAGAAACATAAAGTGAAAAATACTGTTTGAGAACTAGTTATAGCATTAAATCACAATGTACAGCACACTAAGGACAGAGATCCTACATGAGGAGTAAGTACACAGTGACTCCTGTTGTTGACTTAACAAATTGACACTCTTGTTTATGGCCTCAGTAATCACCCTAGGCTCTTTTTTAGCCAGGTTTGAATGTTTGTGTTTCACTGGTTCATGCAGAGCTATCAGTGAACCAGAGAAGTATTCATTGCAGCATCATTTGCCTGTACAGAGGACTGCACTCCTGGATCATCAGGAGCAAAGTGCACAGGCGTCTGCAGCATTCTTCCGTATGACATGAAACTACTCCGGCGACATAGACTATCCTTTAGGATATCAAGAGAAGTACAAGACTTGAGTCTTCATTTGAATGGCTTTCCTGGAATCCACTCTTTAATACTTAGCATTCCCTCTGAAGACTTTTGGTTTTTAGACCCACAATATATGCATATAGAGAATATTTTACTCTTAGAAAGATGGAATCAGTGGCTTAGGCTTTCTTCCCTGAACCGAGAATTGTTCTGATTTCTATAGAGACTAAATAAGTATACAAGTAATACTTCCTCATACTTATTAGAGCAAAGGAGTTATCAGGTTGGAACCCTCTGATGTCACTGAATTCACATGTGGTGGGATGATTATTATTTCAAATGCATTCAACTTGTGAGGAAAGCATTGCATTTCCACTTGCTGCTGATGTACAAAACAAGGTGGAGTGAGTATTGCCCAGGTCCCCCTGATGTGAGAACTGGAGCCAGATCTCAGCTACAGATCCCTCTACCTGCAAATTCCTTAAAACATTTCCAATTAAGTTGACAGAAGTCTTTCCACATGGGTACATCACTTACCTCTGCCTCATTTCTGCTAAAAGCCATTGACAAATTCAAAATTTTCATCTGAGGTTTGTCACAATGGATCGTCAGCACCACATTCTGGCCACTCACTATTAATTGGAGATGCACTGTTGGATAAAGATGCAGGGAACAAGAGCAGAGTGAGGGTGATATTTGGCACTAGGATTAAGATACTGCTTGTAAAGACATACTCTATATCACTGGCTGGGCAAACATCGCAGTTCAGTTTCCTCTTTCCAATTCCTGGGAGAAAGATTGGAAAATACTGCCATCAATGTGGGGGTCCTGAATTAAGGTCTATTCTTCGTTCTTAAGGCTGGCCCAGGCCAAGCTGTTGCAGGCATTAGTATAGTAACACAGAGGATGGGAAATCTCCCTCTCACTGGTTCCCCCTCTTCCTTTCTCTGCCTTTACAATCAGTAGAAATATGTTGCTATTATAGAAATAAGAAACTGAGGCATGATAATGTGAAAAAACACATTATTGCTATTATTATTGAAGTAAAATTCAGCTACCATAAAATCTACCACTGTTAGGCATACATTTGTTATATTGCAGAGTTTTCAATCATCCCCAATTCTAGAATATTTTGATAAACTCTCCATTTCTATCTCTTTTTTTTTGACAGGCAGAGTGGACAGTGAGAGAGAGAGACAGAGAGAAAGGTCTTCCTTTGCTATTGGTTCACCCTCCAATGGCTGCCGCGGCCGGCACACCATGCCGATCTGATGGCAGGAGCTGGGTGCTTATCCTGGTCTCCCACGGGGTGCAGGGCCCAAGCACTTGGGCCATCCTCCACTGCACTCCCTGGCCACAGCAGAGTGCTGGCCTGGAAGAGGGGCAACTGGGACAGAATCCGGCACCCCGACTGGGACTAGAACCTGGAGTGCCAGCGCTGCAAGGTGGAGGATTAGCCTAGTGAGCCGTGGCACTGGCCTCTCCATTTCTATCTTACAATGCCTGGCATCCACTCCCCCACATTCTCTCTGGAGATCCCATTTGGAATATTTCTGATGCATAGAATAATACATTTGACACTTTGCACCTGGCTTCTTTCACTTTGTGTAACATTTTCAAGGGTTATCCAGGTTGTAGCATGTATATGTACTTACACAGAATTCTATACATGAGGTCTCCTGCCTGTTTCCACCTGCATCCTGTTGGATGTTCAGAGGGTGTAATGCTACCTGTGAAATCTATTAGCATCTATGGATTACAGTGCTATATTCACTTAATGCTGTGGCTACTCTTTTGGTATAGCAGGTCCAGACTGCCACTCGTGATGTTTGCATCCATATGAACATTGTTTCATATACTGGCTACCCTACTGTCAATCCAACACATTTCTAATGGCCCAGGAAAGCAGGAAAGGATGACCCAAGTATGTGGATGCCTGTAACTCATTTGAAAGGCCTGAATGAAGCTCCTGGCTTCTGGCTTTTGCCTCGCCCAGCCTTGCCTGTTGCAGTCATCTGGAGAATGAGCCAGCAGTTGAAAAAAATCTCTCTGTCTCTCCCTCTTGTTTTGTAACTCTGACTTTCAAATAAATTAATAAATGTTTTATGCACATAATTATAGCAGTAACAGTTTAGAATAGGCACTTCTTTGGTTGGATCAGAAACTAAAATTTGAGAAGTAGAAGCTCAGTCATTATTTGTGACCTTTTCTTGAATAAACACATTTTCATTTCTGGTGTATCACTGCTATGCTGACACATTATCACCCTTACAGAAGTCATTGCTGGCCCAAGTCAAAAAGAGGATCATCTGTAAAGGATGACTGTAGAAAGTGGGCTAAATGGTCAGTGTCTACAGAGGCAAATGGTACTCTCACTGTTTTTTTCTAAGGTTTTTCTCTTAGCCAGCTCATCAGCTTGTCCCAGAGCAATAGATCATTTCCTCCGGTATCTCTAGGCTATTATGAACTCCACTCTGTCTCTTCCTATTGCACCCACAAACAAATCCATTACCTTGAATTGGCCCTGCAGGCAAAGCTTCTTCTCCAACTTGTTGAAGTGTGTTCAGGTCCTACTACTTCTATTAGACCAGAGCCTCATGGTCATATTCTTATTCTACAGGAAGTGGTACATCCACTCCCTATAAACCTAATCTGGGTCCAACAGGGAAGCTCCCTGGCCAGGTACACAAGTCACTGTGGAGTAAGTTCCTCTCCCAATCCTTACTGCTCAGCTCAGGTTGCCCCTTGAGGAGCTGGAGTAGATCAAACAAAAGTCAGTTTCTTTAAGTTTCTGATTCAGGTTATATTATTCTCACCCTCTTTTGGTGACGTTTTATATAGTGTTACCTGTTATTTCTTAGTCTAATTCTTGTCCCAAAACAGGCTTTCTTTCTTCGGTGTGCTCCCTTGGCTCTTGAATCACAAGATGTACCTCAGCCCAGATGCTGCAGGAGACAAAGAATAAAGACCAAGTTCATCTCTCAGTTGTAGTTCACCAGGCATATGTTACACACATCACAAGCCCCCAGGGACCCAGAGAAGTCTCATAAGGGACCTCAGAATGGTAGAACATTGGGAGGGAAAGCTTAATGAACTGCTACTCGAATTCCATGCAGATCTCACATGGGTAGGAAAAAAAAGGGGGGGGGGGAATGTGCATCTCTATTCCCTCTGCCATCACTGCTACAGCGGAGACCTGTGGCCAGCAAGGGGAGAGCCTACACCCAGTGTTGGACACAGGCAAGGAGCAGATGCACAAGCTTTAGTGTCAGTTGCACACCTCTGGTTGTCTGGTAATGAGAGCAGAGGGGGAAAGCTGCATAAGGGAGCCTTTTACAAGCCAGTACAATTGAGTGGCAAGTGGGGCTGAAGCCTACAAACCACAGATATAACCAGAGAGAAAAGAAGTCTACAAATACCATGAACAAAGGCAAAAATCAAAAAATCAAAACTAAGGATGACACTATGAGACCCCCAAAGGAACATCACAATATGTCAATATTAGAAAATGATGATGAAGGCCGGCGTCACAGCTCACTAGGCTAATCCTCCGCCTTGTGGCGCCAGCAAACCAGGTTCTAGTCCCAGTCGGGGTGCCGCATTCTGTCCCCATTGCCCCTCTTCCAGGCCAGCTCTCTGCTGTGGCCAGGGAGTGCAGTGGAGGATGGCCCAAGTGCTTGGGCCCTGCACCCCATGGGAGACCAGGAGAAGCACCTGGCTCCTGCCATCGGATCAGTGTGGTGCGCCAGCCGCAGTGCGCTGGTCGCGGCGGCCATTGGAGGGTGAACCAGCGGCAAAGGAAGACCTTTCTCTCTGTCTCTCTCTCTCACTGTCCACTCTGCCTGTCAAAAAAAAATTAAATAAAAATAAAAAATAATAAAAGAAAATGATGATGAAGAGATTAAGGAAATGCCAGAAACAAAATTCAAAAAATTAATCATTGGATTACATAGAAGCAATCAGAAGCAAATTCATTAACTAAAGAAAAATATATATGATTGAAAATTTTTCATTTGAAATTGAGGTTTTAAAGAGAAATCAAAATGAAATACAAGAAATGAAGAATTCAATAGCTCACATAAAAATTTTAGTGAAAAGTCTTAACAACAGAGTAGGTGAGGCAGAAGAAAGAATATCTAAGCTAGAAGACAAATCCCTGAAAATTTTATAGTCAGACCAAAAGCAAGAAGAAGAAATCAGAAAACAAAAATACTGTTGAAGAGCTGTAAGAAGCTCCTGGTTCCTGGCTTTGCATGAGCCAAGCTACAGCCATTATGGCCAATGAGGGAGTGAGCCAGCAGATGGAAAACTTCTCTCTCTCTCTTTTTCTCTCTCCCTCTCATTATCTCTCTATGTAACTCATACTTTCAAATAAATAAATAGATCTTTAGAAAAAAAGTGGAACAGCCAGGACTGAAACTGGCAACCATATGGGATGGACATTGCAGGCAGTGGCTTTACTTGCTGTCACAAGGCTGGCCACTTTCAATTTTTTTTTTTTTGACAGGCAGAGTGGACAGTGAGAGAGAGAGACAGAGAGAGAAAGGTCTTCCTTTTGCCGTTGGTTCACCCTCCAATGGCCGCCGCTGCAGCCGGCGCACTGCGCTGATCCTGGCAGGAGCCAGGAGCCAGGTGCTTTTCCTGGTCTCCCATGGGGTGCAGGGCCCAAGCACCTGGGCCATCCTCCACTGCACTCCCTGGCCATAGCAGAGAGCTGGCCTGGAAGAGGGGCAACCGGGACAGAATCCGGCGCCCCAACCGGGACTAGAACCCGGTGTGCCGGCGCCGCAAGGTGGAGGATTAGCCTATTGAGCCACGGCGCCGGCTCTCAATTTTTTTTTTAATTATTTATTTGAAACGCAGACTGACAGAGCAGAGAAAGAAAGACATAGAGACAAACATCTTCCATTTACTGGTTCACTCCCCAAATGGCCACAACAGCAAGGGCTGGGCCAGGCTATAGCCAGGAGCCTGGAATTCCATCCAGGTCTCCTAGATGAGTGGCAAGGGGACCAAGTATTTGGGCTGCTCTCTCAGGCACATTAACAGGGAGCTGGATCATAAGTGGAGCAGCTGGAACTTGAACTGGGGCTGTGATATGGGATGCCGGTGTCATAGGCAATGGTTTAACCTGGTGCACCAAAATTCCAGCCCTCATTTGCACATGTATTTACTCTCTGTATATCAACTTTCACAAATAATAAAAAGCATTTGATATTTGTCTTTGTGAGTCTGGGTTAATTCACTTAGCTGATGAAGTCCATTCCATCCATTTTGTTGCAAATGTCAAAATTTCATTCCTTTTTCATAGCAAATTAAACAATTCTTATGTAAAAGTATCTCTTTTTTATCCAGTAATGTTTGCAGACATCTATGTTTTTTATACTTTTCAGAAGGTTTCATTTTTAAGAAACCATTTACTTAATGTGTATAAATTTCATGAGTACGTCTTTAGGAATACAGTGATTCTTCCTGCCATATCCACCCTCCCACCCCACTTCCCTCCCCACTTACTACTCCTTCTCATTCCCAGACCCATTCTCCATTAAGATTCATTTTTAATTAACTTTATATACAGAAGACCAACTCTATACTAAGTAAATATTTCAACTATTTGCACACAAGAACACAATATATATAAAAAACTGAGAACAAGTTTTACAGTTGAATTTAATAGTATGACTTATTTAGGACCAAGGTCCTGCATGGGAAGTAAGCGTACAGTGACTTCTGCTGTTAATATGCCTTGAAATCTGGTATGGTAATGCCTCAGGCTTTGTGTCTGTGGTATACAATTGTGTTAGCTAATCAAGGTCACCTGTGTTTCCAAATGAATTTCAGCATCACTTTTTCTAGATCTGAGAACAATGATTTTGGTATTTTAATTGGTATTGAACTGAATCTGTAAATTGCTCTTGGAAGTATGGACATTTTGGTGATACTGATTCTTCCAATCCATGAGCATAGAAGTTTTTTTTTTTTTCATTTTATGTGTCTTCTTTTTTTTTTCTTTAGTGTTTTATAATTCTCATTGCACAAGTCTTTGACATCCTATGTTTATTCCTAGGTAAATTTATTCCTAGATCTCTTTTTCCCTCTACATCTCTTTCTCTGTCACTCCCTCTTTCTCTGTCGCTCCTTCTTTCTCTGTCACTCTGCCTTTTAAATAATAATAATAATAATAATAATAAAATGGCCAACAGACATTTGAAAAAAATACTCAGGATCACAAGCCATTAGGGAGATGTAAATCAAAACCACAATAAGGTTTCAACTCACTCCAGTCAGAATGGCACTCACACAGAATTCAACAAGTAACAGATGCTGGTGAGGATGTGTGGAAAAAGGTATCCTAATTCACTGTTGCTGGGAATGTAAACTGGTGTAGCTACTGTGGAAGACAGTCTGGAGATACCTCTGAAGTCTGAATATACACCTACCACCTGACCCAGCCATCCCACTCCTGGAGATTTAGCCAAACCAAAAGAAATCAACATATGAAGGTGTTATCTGTATACCCATGTCCACTGCAGCACAATTCACAGTAGCTAAGATATGGAATCAACTCAGATGTCCATCAACTGTTGGCTGGATAAAGGAATTATGGCATATACACTATGGAGTACTACTCAGTTGTAAAAAAAATGAAATCCTCTCTTTTGCAACAAAATGAATGTGAGTGGAAACCACTATACTTACTGAAATAAGCCAGTCTCAAAAAGACAGATACCATATGTTTTCCCTGATCCAAGGTAACTAATAGAGTACCTGAATTGTAATGTGTTGTAGTGAAATGGACATTTTGAGGTATCTGATGATTGTTTACAGCCTTTGTCTCATCTGTTGAGCAGCAGTGGGTTTTTTCTTCATACTATTTGTTGAACTCCTTTATTTAGTGTAGGGTTAACTTGATGATCATTAACTAAACTGAAAGTAGATCTTTATAAAAATTAAGAGTGAGAATGAGATAGGGAAGAGGAAGAATAGTTGGAGCATGGGTGGGAGGGAGGATAGGGTAGGAAGTATCACTGTGTTCTAAATCTGTATATATGAAATACATGAAACTTGTATAACTTAAATAAAATTTTTAGAAACATGATTCCAAATTCTGCAAAAAGAATAGAAGAAAATAAAAAATAATAATAAAACTAGCCACCATACAGTGATACACATGAGAGTTTATGTTAACACTGATTTATAATCTTAGTTTTCCATTGATAGACTGTCAACTACCAGTAGTCTTCTGAGTGAGCCCAAACTCCAGTAGTCTCAACTGATATAATCATAACCCCTTGAAGGTTCACAGACAGTAACTGATCGACTGAGTCCAGGAAGCCCACTAAATCCACTAAGGCATGAGAGTTCAGAACAATCTATTCCTGGAGCCAACATTATGGCATAGCAGATAAAGCTACCATCTGCAGGGCTGGCATCCCACATGAGCACCTGTTCAAGTCCCAGCTGCTCCACTTCTGATTCAGCTTCTTGCTAATATGCCTGGGAGTGCTGCAAATGAGCCAAAAACTTGGGACCCTGCTACCTATCTTGGATATCCAGATGGAGTTCAAGGTTCCTGGTTTCAGATTACCTCAGCCCCAGCTATTGTTGCCATTTGGGGTATGAAACAGAGAGGGGAAAATGTCTCTCTGTCTCTTCCTCTCTCTGTAACTCTGCCTTCCAAATAAATAAATAATCCTTTTACAATGATATATTATTAAGTGATTGCATTTTGAAATTAGTATGTTACATCAGATAAAAGGAAAAGAAGATAATTTCACAAATGTAGAAATAGTGTGCTCATCTCCATAGAAGGTGGGCAGAGGAGGAAGAGAAAAAAGAGCAGAAATAAAAGATACATGATAGTTATGGATTTATGAATTAGAGATAGACATTTGGCCTAGAGGTTAAAATATTGGTTGGGTTGCCATGTCCCATATCTGAGTAT